CTAGGGGTGGGTGGGGGGGGGGAAGCTGTGGGCGGCAGACAGCTGGAGCCGTGATTCACAAAAACCCGACTTGGCGTGAAAACAAAGACATGCTACAACCCAGACGAGGTTCCTTCATCACGAGAGGAGCGACTGAGTGAAGAGGAGGGAAAACACTGTGATCTCGCTGGAGTTCAACGGCCACTTGAAGCTCGAGACGACACATAAAAGTCAGGACCAGAACCCGGACTGGACTCGTGTGTGTTGGAGCTACAGAGGTACAGTTATGGGATAAACCAAGTGCCGAGAGGTGAGAGGATGTTTTCTCTGGCTGGACTTAAACAAACCACAAAGGAGAATATTTAAAACCACAATGCACCTGCAACTCCTCTTTTTCCACTTTCACTCCAGCTGAACTTCTGAAGCCATTAAACTTTGACTGTTTGATCTCTGAAACTTTTGCTAAAATATTTCCAGAGGAATTAGTTTGTTTTACACACCTGCACCTGACAAACCCTCTCTTTATGTACCCACCACTCCTTTCATCCTGTTTACCCTGCAGATGGCTGCCACGCTGGCAGGTGGACGCAGATGTAGTCGCCTCGTTCAACATTAACCGAATCAGACAAAATAAACGGCCGCCCCTGAGCACGAGCTGGAGGCAGGAAGGCAACGGAGCAAGTCTACATTACTGTGACATGTAGTTTAGATTCAAAACAGTCAGAGGCGTATTGGCCTGTAGCAGAAGAGAAAGTACTTCACTACCACATGTCAACAGACTGGAAGAAGCTAAAAATGAAAAACAAACATGTACAGTCTCATATGTTAGTTTGTCAGGAGTCAATTTATGTGCAAATTACGTCAAAATGAGATGAGTGACACAGCATGAAAGATGTGAACAATACTTCTTCTGTTGTGGAGTAAAGTAGCAGATATATAAGACGGATCTGATGCCCGCAGCCTGCTGGTGGGATCATGTTGAGTGTTGCTGGTAACGGTGGTTTCCTGCAGGGTGTGGTGGCACCAGCATCACCGTCATGGTGGTCTGTCCTGTTCTTAGTCGGTCTCCAGCTCCCCCAGCTGAGCCCGGTCCAGGCCACCATCTGCCCGTCCCTGGGCTCCTCCCAGGCGGTCAAATGCCTCTGTGCCTCAGACATCCTCAGCTGCACCGCCCTGGGTCTGGAGCAGGTTCCCGGAGAAATGCCAGTCTCTGCTGTGACTCTGGATCTCAGCCATAACCGGGTTGCGCAGTTGGAGGGGGGCAGCTTTGAAGGACTTTATCGATTGGAGACATTACGGTTAGCTCACAACCAGCTGACTACCATTCACCCAGGGGCGTTTCGAAATGCCTCTGGGACTCGGCTCCGACACCTCGACCTGTCGTCCAATCAGCTTCGTGTTTTGGAGCGGCATTATTTCGTAGATTTGCCAGGATTGGAGGAACTGCTGCTGTTCAACAACTGTATCAGCCAGGTGAGGAACGGAGTTCTGGCTGGACTGGGCAACCTCCACAAGGCCTACCTCAGTCATAACCGTCTCACTGACTTCCCTTTCTTCTCCATCCAAGAGCACAGCCACCCTCACCTGTCCATGCTGGACCTGTCCTCAAACCGCCTGCCGACACTACCCCTGGAGGTTATATCAAACTTACCCCTTTCGCTCCAGAAAGTACTCTACCTTCACAACAACTCCCTGGTGTGCGAGTGCTCAATGTACGGACTGTTTCGGCATTGGGAACAGAGAGGTTTCGCCTCAGTGAGAGACTTCAGGCAGGAGCACACCTGTCTGGTCTATGGGATTCAGAGAGGTACTGTCCGCTTCTTCAACAATAACCGCTACTTTGAAAAATGTAACTTGACTGTGATGAGTGGGCTGCTGAAGGAGCAGGAGAGCAGCGTTTCGGTGAGGGCAGGAAAGGCACTGCTGCTGCACTGTGAGACCACTCTCACCGGGCAGCGTGTCACCTTTCTCTGGGTGTCACCGAATCAGGAGTATGTGGCTCCACCAGGTAACAACGGCTCACTAAAGATGTACACCAACGGCAGCTTGGAGATCATGGCGGCTCGTCCGGAGGATTCTGGTATCTACTGGTGTATGGCTCTGGACCAGCAGCAGCAGCGCAACGAAACTCGGGAGGTCAACGTGACGGTGGAGCCGCACCACAGCAACGACCCTCACGAGTCCTTCAACACTGGATTCACCACCCTGCTGGGATGTGTGGTGAGCCTGGTGCTGGTCCTCATGTACCTCTACCTGACGCCCTGCCGCTGCCCTCCCTGTCCTCGGGCCTCGACCCCCGCCACGGCTACCGCGAGCCAGGTGAACGAGGCCGGGGCAGGGAGCGCCCAATCCTCCATCCTCACCCCGACCCCGCCGGCAACCACTGAGGGCCCGGGCCGCAAGGTCAGTACCAACAAGCATGTGGTCTTTCTGGAGCCGATCAAAGAGCAGCAGAACGGCAGACTGAGGGCGGGGCCGGTAGCTGGGGCGGTGCAAGGACACTTGGGGCCAGGTTTACTGATAGGGGCAGAGCAGCACTCAAAGCTCCACAACCAGTCGCAGCAGCAGAGGGCAGGGGAGACAGACTCCATCATGTCCGTGTTCTCAGACACTCCCATCATGTTGCCATAGCAACGGGACTAAGAGAGATGCGGACTGGCACTGTCACCACCTCTCACTCACTTCCTTTCTCAACTGTTTGCCTCCTCACCACCTCCCACTGCACCCAGCACCAGACCTGAGCAAAACAGTAATCCCACTCTGACTTTTAAAATGTGTCTTTATTTTGCTTTGAGGCGTTTCGACTGCCTGTGAAACAGATCAAGTGCAATTTTACGAGGTTGAATACCAAATTTACAAGTATTATTGTTTGCCCAGGTCTGCCCACTAAAGCCCTACAGCCATGAACCAGTGCACTGTGACGAGAAGGGCTCAAACAGGGACAGGTTTATGGAGAACACGTAGGGAGTGCAGAGCAAACAGACAAAAAAATAGCAAGAACTCTGGGAGAAGCTGCAGAAACTGCCTCTAAAGTCTGAGCCAGGAGAACTGACATGAAGCAACGTGAGCATGGACTGCAGCTGAAAGTGCACAGGGCTGACCCTTTAAGCACGGCTTGTACCTTTAATGAACATTTGCTACAGATGCCTTCTTGTCTCAGACAGAGATATAGAGAGAAAAATATCTTTTTGTAAAGCTTTTTAGCTTTTTCTTTTCTTTTCTTTCCAGAGTCGGTGTGTCAGTTGATTAGAGCCAAAAGAATGTGCATAGTGTAGCTCTGTCACATGTGAGATGTTTTAGAGTAGACAAGCTAGAGAAAGAAGAAGAGCTTTTAGCAAGTAAAAATAGAAACTGTTTTAAAGGGTAAGGTTTGACTCCCATCCTCCTCCCTCCTCCTCCTCTTCCCTGGAACATGATTACTGTCATCAGTCAGAACAGAAGTTCAGGAAAACAAAAAGGGAAATAAATAAAAAAACATCAGTTGAAATGATTTATGATTTATGCTGGAGAAGAAGTTGTTCAGTGGAACTTTTTCAAACGTTAATCAATGAGTTTTTCTATTCACTACGTCTGAGACAATAAAGGGTGAAAGATTTGCCTTTGTGTGGTGAATATACGGCGGATTGACGGGACAATCAGGGCAGACGTGTTTTTGTTTGATCACTGTATTCACTGCATCCCCCCGTCCTCGCACTGTCTCCTGTCCTCTCTTTATCTGTGTGTTAATAAACCTCTGTATCTGGACCATCCACTGTGTGTGTGAGTGTGCATGTGTCCCTACAGTCTCTGCACATTCAGCCTCCAACGGCTGAATAAACTCAACTCAACGATTTTTCACACATTCAACAACAAATGTATGATTCAGTTTTGTGCCAGCTCACAAAGGTTCAAACAACAGACTTCACAGTGAAGCTTTCTGTCTGTGGTTCACATATTCTGCTGCTTTAAAAGAGACAAAGTGACAAAAGTAGGCTGACAACAGGACATTGGGATGATCCCGGGAGGATTCAGACAGTCTGTGTTGGCTCAAATTAGAGATGTAATGATACACACATCCACGATTCTGGGTTCTCGATATGAATCTCTTTAACAAAATGACGGAGACAAAACTTATTTTCTTTATCAAATTATAGAATAAACTGTAAAACTTACATTTTATTTTCTTAAGTCCAAAATAGAGAGCCCTCTGCTGTTTAAAAAGAGTATCAGCATTACTTTTTGATCTCATCGTCTCGCGACACATTGTTATAAATATATATATTACAGATATAATGCAGAAACAAACAAATATTTAATTCTAAAAGCATTTCAACCTTCTTTAAAACATATAATCCAATCTGATTCTATGACATTCATGTTCCTCAAATTTAAAACCAAAGTTTCTTTACATTTCACAAACTGTTTATCACTAAAATCCGACCTCAGAAATCAGTGTGTGAATGTGTTTGAATATATCAGAATGTGAAATAAAACAGGTTTAAACTGGAGCCTAATTACACTCACACACACTCACACACACACACACACACACTAGGATGGATCATTAATCTCCCCTCTACATCGGCCCTGTTCATTTCCTGTGTTGCCTTCATGCTATAATTCAAATCAACAGGATATCAGTGAACGTCACAGAAGATCCTCCACAGCCATAAATAACTGCAGAAAATCACTGATCATTATTCAGATCCTAACAGGCCATTATTCTACAGCCCAACAGGGCGGGGGTTGGGTGGCAGGGGATCACATCCTGCAGGTATTTACACTTTATTAACACACACACATCCATCAAATGATTTACTGCATAACAACAAACAAAGACTCTGAATTACACCTCCGAACCTCGGAGGATGATTCCCAAACGTATTCATCAGAGATAATGTGTGAGGTCAAAGAACTGCTCAGGAAGTTCATTAAAAACTATTAAAACACTTTAATAAACAATTAGTCAATAATGTCAGTTTCACCAAAATCAATGAATACAGTCAATGCTAGCTAGCTAATGTAGCTATAAAGTAGGGCTTTGCACTCAGTGAGGCCATAGATTGTCTGTAACGGCCCTCAGAAACACTCCGAAGGGAGGAAGCGTTCAGACTACATGTGGGAAATAAGCAGCAGCTGTAAGCCGCCACTCCCTGCATGTACAGTGTGTTCTGGTCACTGGTGTAATTCCCTCTCTTGTAGCAACCATTGCGGAAGGAAACTGACGATCATTAAGAAACAGTGCAAGTAGTTTGTGAATATTAAACTTCACCAACTGAGAGCCAGATTGCTCTCTGGATGCACTGGGTCAAACTCATTATACCAAATATCAGTTTATGAAATCCAAAGAGTTTCTTTCTGTTCTGGACATTAACACTAGAAGGTGGAGTAAAAGATACTTTAAATTATTTTAATATCTCTCCTAGAAGACATTCATAGTGTTCCCTTCTGTTACTTTCTCAACTACTAGTGGTGTAAACATTCACCGGAGTCAGAAATCAGTTTTAATGTTATAAATGATGATATGTACTTTATTCTAATAATAATAATAATAATAATAATAATATAGATGCGACTACATCAGTTAACGGATCCCTCGATGGATCTAAATGATTAATTCTCTTCCAGTTTTTCTATACTTAAAAACAAAACTATAATTGTCTACATTAAGCAAATGTTAGGAACTGTATGACATTGCTCCATATTAAAATGTATTGTAGGTCATGTATCTGGATACGTATGTGATCGTCTTACAGGGGGCAGAGGCTCAGAGCTGAAGGGTTAATGGGTCTACAGTTCTCACTGTGATGCACTTATGAAGACATGGCGGGCAGAGCAGACATTAAATATTCAGGAGGTTTTCCCTCATGCTCGGCCTCTGCATCAAAACTATTCAGCGTTCGGTTGAAAGTTGTAAAGCGCACGTACAGTGATCAATCAAAAAAATAAATCAATCAGTACCAGTCCGACCTCACCACGACTCTTCTGTTTATTTGACCAGTTATTGTAGTTTCCTGTGAGTTTGACCAACGAGACAGAAAAACAAGAATTATTTTGCCAATGAGATGAGTTTCGAAAGCCAGACGTTCATCAGTCACCATGGTTACCAGGCGGCCAATGTCACTGCCCGTTCTGGATGGAGTTTGGTTTTGTTTTGATGGAGGATATTACTTCAGAAAAAAAATAAATATATATATTCGTGGACTCGGTTGAGACCAATGGCCAAGTCCAAGTGCAAACAACAACAAGTTTGAGACGACTCAAATACTAACCCTAACCCTCGATCCATACGTCGCCTAACAATTAGACTACTACTGGAAACAAGTTACCTTCAATCTTTTATGATTTATCCAAAACAAACAATTATTTCTCCTGCAAAACAATGTCAGACATCACAACATACATCGCAATTTAAAATCTGCAGTGAAATCAGACAATTTAAATAAATAACAGTTCAAATTAAGTCAAATTAATTTTATTTTACAGAACATTCATCTTCCTAATCAGCCTTTTAAAATAAGTTTATAAAGTAGTAAAAGTGTTCATGGCATGTAGAATTAACAATTATCAACCACAACAACACGTTTCCAGGACAACAGACTTTATTTCCAGAATATTTGGTCTTTGGTCATCAATTTTCATGATTGGAAAATTAGTCTTAGATTTTCCAGGTTTTCCAGCTATTCCAGGACGCGTGGGAACCCTGTTCTAATTAAGGATTTAAAATAATTAACGGCGGACCGACTTTTGTCCGATTTTTACTTAATTTTTTTTTATTATTTAACTTAATAAAACCTATGAACCTCAAAGCGAAAGTGAATTCCAAATGCCAAAATAATACTAATAAATCACTAACATGGTTCATAGTTTCTGTGAGAGATGTACATTTCGTCCATTTGTAGTCCACACGACTTCTTGCTTTCAAGAGGTCGCCATCTCGTTCCCTAGTCTCACACTTCAGACGCTAGCATGTATAGAATCGTGTCTGCTGTGCGTGTGCGAGTCCACAGCTGACAGTATTATACCGTAGTATGATAAAGGTTTCACTCTGTACACATTTCACACACCAACAGACATGCAGCCGCCCACTCAAACAGATTCAAAGCATGCCGTGACACCGAGAGGCCTTTCGTATGAGCTAATGTTAGACAGCATCAACCAGAAGAGGAAGACTTACTGCTGCGTTTACAGTGGACTTCCACAGAGAGACTGAAAAGAAGCTGAGACGAAGGTTGATATGTCTGCGTGGTGAACTGCTTTTTCTTCACAAATCCCACATCCAAGATAAACACGCTTCTTTGACCGCTGGTTTACTGCAGTGTGAAGCTGAGTGAGGTCAGAAGAAGAGTCGAGGAGGAACAAGACAAAAGGAACAATAACAGAAAGATAGTGGAAGAAAACACAAGGCAGTGTTTATGCTGAGCAGCAGTAAACAGTTATTGTTGGAACCGTCTTAAATCACGTCGCTGTCGGCCTCCAACAGCTCGGTACGGCAGAAGACAGGGAACAAACACGGATGGACACATAAAGACAGGCAATGATAGCACGGCATCACAACATGCTGAGTTCCTCGAGACTAAAGCTTTGAAAACATGAAAACGGGACTGAAACATATATCAATCAGCAGATCCAGGACCAGGAATCAACAACTACTCTCTCATTTAGAGGAAGCAGGAAAAATCCACATAAAGATCCTTTAAATGTGGTCATAACTTCCACATTCACACCTTCATCTGCCAGTCTACAATCTTTCAGTCTACAACAAGCTCCTCCTGAGTTCACTAATCCTTCACATCCCTTCAGATGAGATGTTGAGGAGCTAAAAGCTGAACGTTTTGTACAGCACAGAAAAGCAGGAGTTTGAATTTCTTACATTTGCATTTCAAGTATTTCACTAAAACTTTTATCAACCTGTGATTTAGGATGAGTGAGCAGCCTGTAAAGCATGAAACATGATCCACAGCACAGAACCGACTCTTCCAACCTCCATTAAGAAGGAATCTCCATCTGATGCTCCTTCTACCCTCTCATCCTCTCCACTAAAAACTCAATCATCATCAATTATTCATGAGAAGCACAGATTAAATAAAAGCAACGTAAAAGAAATCCCATCTCCCTGTAGCTCCCTTTCTTTCTCTCTCTCTGTACACTAAAACAACTGAGAAAGTACAACAGTAAGTTAAATCATTTATTCTTTGGAAAGACGTTATAGAAGAGATATAAAATACTGAGTGTTCAGATACATAACATAAGATGAGTCAGTCTAATACATTTTTCTTGTTTTAACCAAAAGAGCTGTAGCTTTGTAGCTGTTACAAGGAAAAGAGAAAACCGGTTATGGCCAAAATCCATTGGCCTGTTCTGGACAATGCTCGTGATTCACCAGAAGTTTGTTTCAGAAGCGTCTCTCAGCTCTGATCCGCAGCCAGTATGGTTTTTTACAGAAGAGGCAGATCATGTTGACAACTTAGTAATGACCTTTTGATTGCTTCTGACAATGGACTTGTCTCTGTACTTGTATTATTAGATCTTAGTGCTGCATTTGACACCATTGACCATAATATTCTTTTACATATCATATATAACGCGAGTATAAGGATAACTTGCTGGGCGGGGCCGGAGGTATATATACAACACACGGGGACACAGGCCAGAGAACGATCTGTGGCGCTTCCAGGTGTGGTCGGTCTCTCGGAGGGCGAGAACACCCGCTCCACCAGCGTTAAGCAGTGAACCTAGGCTTAAGAGAGCATTGGTGGGCTCCTGGTTCGCAGTAGGCGAGCCCTGTATAGTTAGCGGCTGCCTGGACAGGGTGATCCAGTGAACCATCTTTTAGGTGATCGCCTCGCGTATATGGGCCGGTCAGACTATCGGCGGCCATTTCCCATGGATGCACTGAGCTTTGTCCCTCCTCTTCCGTCTCTCATCTCTCATTCTGCCACTCATTCATGTCCCCGATTAATGCCATGTTACTAACCTTCACTTCTTCCCTGGATTCTTGTCTTGTATCGTCCTGCCAGCGCTTCTCATGGCGATCCTGGTGGGAGCCTCGCTGCCATGGGTCGTCTGCTAGACTAGCCAGGTTGCGCTAATATCACTGATATTATGTTATTACTTATTAGTTTATTAATTAAGTATTATTATTCGGCTACAGTTACTGTTGTCGCTGCCCTCGCTGTCCCATCGCTGCCTGCCTGTCATCGGTCTTTTCGGATGCGTCGTCATCGCATGCTATCGTATTAATGTAGTTGTTGCCTTCTGTTGCTTTGGTTGCGTCGTCTCTCTCTCTCTCGCCCCCCTCTCTCCTCTCTCTCTCAGCAGGCGGCGGGCCCCGAACGATCTGTCGAGGGTCGGGCCTCGTTAAGAGCGCAGTTGTTGTCCTCTGCCCTGGGTCTCCAGGCTTGCTCATGGGGTACTGTTGGATCTGCTGAAATGTTAAAGGAGTTCGGTCGCGACCTGCTCTGGTTTGAAAAGTGTCCTGACATAAC